CAGATGCTAACCCAGTTTTAAGTTGTTAGTGAGATAGTTTTCTACACGTCGTTTTCAGTTACCAGTGGACACTTCTGTTACCATTCAGTTACTATGTTTGAGTGGCACTTGCTTACATGCTCTATTTAGTACTGAAAATAAGAATTTTTATATGTGATAGAGGACTTCTTCAAGGTTGTGGAAGTCTTTTAATATGTTCTAAAGAGTGTATGTTTAATAAAGCTTTTTAAAACAAATCTGGAAGGGATGATACATATTTAATTTTAGTACGTTTGTTTATAGTTAAGTTACAAGTTGGAAAGCAAATGTAAATTCTGTTTTACTTTGGGTCTTGGAGGGTGAGTTCTAGCAAGGAAAAACAAACTCAGACTTCCCATGATCTTCATAGATGAACCAGCAGGAAGACAAAAGATCTTAATGGAACCGTGTCTGAAATGCAGTCTCTGCATAACATCTCTGTATCGGCATTTTTTTTTTATTCCTCAACCTACATGAATGATGAATTTGATACAAATCAAACAGAGCTGTAGTTAAACAGAGGTTACCAGATAGTATTAGTAATAATCTGTTTGTCATCATTTAAAACCAGATCCCACAAACATATGGACTGATTTTGCAGCCTGGAGCAGTGGAAGTCATAGGTACTAGTATTTGTAGGATTGGAGCTTATTAATGAAATCTTAGCAGACTTCAGCTTTCATCTCTCTTTATCCTTGCAACTTCTGCAGTAACTTCAGTCCTTAAAAAATTCCTCTTCAGGAATTCAGTTGTGAATAGATCTACGGTTAATATTCAGACATAGCATATTCAATACATATTGAACACATGGAGAAATGCGTAGTAATTTTTTGATTAATTTTTGAAGTCAGTAAACTGGTAAATATCATTATAAAATTGTACAATTTGAGATAATTCTAAGAATTTAATAAATGGTGTGCTTTGATTCCATTCATTCAGGGGCCTGCATAAGATGACCGTTGCATCTTTCTTAAACCAAACTCATAACTTTCAAAAGCATATTTTGCATCAAAATTATTTGGAAATCTCATTATACTGATCTTCATTATACTGATCACTGATTTCAGACTGAACTTTTTGTAGCGCCATGTTGTGCTCAAAAAATAAGTTGCTGTTCTCTTTTCCTGACAGCTAGCTCAACACAACAAAATTGCAGAAAAAGGGTGTCATTACCTTTTGTAAGTACATCAAATGTAAATAGGCCACTGCTTATTAGAAAGGTTCTCCTTGGTATCTACTGCAGTCCATCTTTCTTGAGCAGGGATGATCAGACTGTGCTCTTTCAGCAGAGATCACATGAGAAACTTGATACATGGAAGGACCAAACCTGTCTTTCTGTGAGGCTGCGTTAAATGGACACTCAGTAGTCAACCTGTAGTTAAAACACACTTGGGTCTTCTTTCAAACTACTGAACTAGGGTAGGAGCAGTATTCTTGTTACTAGACCCAAAAGCCACGTCACATGCTCCTTCTAATAAATTTAATTTCCGGTCTACTAGTCTTATATTTTAAAGTCACTTAGTTTGGATATTCCAGGTATCATTTGCATTAATGATGCCTCCCAGCTGTAGGTTGTCAGCAAGTTCTTACTGTGTGCGTGCTTTTATAAGTTAAAGGTTCTTGAGTGTATATACAGTCCTCTAAACTACAAGAAAACAGTTTAGGTTCCAAATTCACTTAACAGTTCTGCCTACACTTAGCAAGTTAAGTTCCTTTTGCTGGAAACCACTTTATGTAACACGACAGATGAGGCGGAATCTGCAGGGCATTTTAGCAAGTGTAGCCAGTGAGGATGTGAAACAAAATGTTGGCCTCAGGGCCTGGCTAGTGGGAATCAGAAGTCTCAGTGAAGTTAACCAGGACAGGAATACCCAGCCAAGAGAAGAGTTTAGAATGGGGATCATTTCCTTACTTTCATAAATTAAAGAGGAGTTAGTCCCATCGTAAGGCAGATTTAAAAACCCCTTTTAAGTACTACCTTCATGAAACATGACAAATGGTCTATTTTTACATAGGTGTATGGACATACACAGCATGCTTCAACAGACCAATATATATAGCTCTGGAAGAGCTACTGCTTTTCAGTACAGGAATTAAGTACAACTTCACTGTTTCCCTTTATCAGCACAATTTACTACCAATAGCAGTTGTTGAAAGGAAGCTTGTACCTTGAAGTCCAAGAAGGTTTATGCTGCTCAAAAGATCAGAAAGGTAAAAAGCAGACTTTACAGAGCAGACTTCAATGTGAACAAAAGTGAAAATACACATATTTTAAATTAATAGGCATGAGACTTTTATGATTTCAAGCAAAAAATATGAATACTCAAAGCATTTGAATATATAGACTTAAACAGGAGGTACTCAAGGAATTTTGATTTGCAGAATATGAAGACTGCTCACTGCTGCAAAGATGACTAGTACGACTGCAGGCTATATTCAGAGCAGTATTTTAGACAAAACATGGAACATTGTTAGATCCTTTTGGGAAGCTATGAAAGGAGCCCATAGGCCTACCAAGAGAAGGGGGTGTTCCTGGACTTACTTCCTGATGAATAAGCTCTTCCAGCAGCTCCCTGTCCCTTGCACTCCCCAGCTGATGACCTAAAGAGCTGTACAGGTGGCACTAGAAGTCAGTTCCTTAGCAGCTCTGCATATCCATAGCATTTCTGAGTCCTTGTCAGCTGCCCTGCTGACTGCTACACTCATTCTGCCTCACAATTTGGCCTTGAAGGGTTTCCTCTCTTCTGTCATTCCTCCTCCGAATGCATCCTTTTATCATTTCCCCACTTCCCAAGGGCAGTTCAATCAACTTGGAGATAGCAAAGAAATTTCTTACCACATTGCTCAACTACCAACTCCCTCTATGTTCTACCTTCTTAGACGAGCTTTTGTAACCCACATTATTTCTGACGTGTTATGATACATTGCAAAATTGGCCTTACTGCAATACCAGACAGAATGTTAGTTACCTGGTCATGATAGATGAGGGGTCAGAAAAGAAGGAACTGTTTCTGAATTTTGAGACAAACACCTACCTGATCAGCCATCAAAATCAATATTCTGTTAATTAGTCTGACTTGGTGAGTTTGCCACCATAGTGACTGGGATCTGTGGAGTGTCTGAAGATGGAATAGAGCCCAGGTTTCAAGTACCTTTATCAAAACCACAAACTGTTCACTTTAACCTGCTTGAAGTTTAATCCACACTTCTAACTTCCCTTTGTAGCCCACTAGGGTAACAAGACAAATACATGCTGGGACCACCATGTAGCAACATCTTTTTTAGGAAAAAAAACCCCGATCACCATAGTCAATTGCTACTGGAGTATTTTGTATAACTAACCTGCTTTCAAGGCTTCCAGATACTGGGATATAATCAAATATTATCAAAAGTCCTTTGGTGCAGCCCTATAGCATGACATGAAACTAAGAAAATTACAGCAGTGCATGCAAGCTTATACTCAGAAATCACAAGCATGACAGCTGAAGAAACTAATCAGGCTAGCTTGGAGGGTGGGGAGAGAAAGATTTTCTCATTCTTCTTCCATTTGCCGGGCCTTAAGT